TAGTAAGAACTGTTTTCTATAAGCAGTTCAGAAACTAAAATGGAAAGATTATATTCTGAATTTATATATTTTTAGTCTGGTCTTCAATATCTTAATGGGGAGCCTGCAATGATACATTCTGGTATTTCTTCACAGTTATTGCAGTCAGTATCTGCAGAGTCTCAGGAGCAAACTGCCTGTAGCTAAGTACTGGCATTTCATCTTGTATTAAATGTTGAGATCTACTTAGTGTCATTTTTACTGTACTAAGGGAATTTAGGAAAGACCTGAAAATGCAGTATATGTGAGCCTTTGTTACAAAGTATGAAATGTTAATTTAATTATGGAAAACACTGATAATAAATATTTCAGAAATTAATGTTCCAGTTTGGAAAAAACCTGAGGACAAATCTTGCTTTGCTATCTGAAACACAAAATGCAGCATGTGTGGTGGTGCAATATTGTAAGAAGAAATATTATAAAACAGAATTGTCTGGTTCTTCCAGCAGCAAGATACACACAGGGATAAAATCAGAGTTATTGCTATTGTTAGTAAAATTGCTTAGGAATAAGGAAACAAAGAATAAACAAACAAATCTGCTAAGCAAAATAGATGATGTAAGAATTAAACCCAGGAGCTTCTGACCTGAACTGTTTCCAACTGTGGATTTTACAAAACCAAAAATTCAGATGCACAAAAGTATTTTTCAGCAGTGGGGAGGAAAGAATACGAACATTTTATTGATTGTGTACTCATTAACAATATATCACTATAAATTTGAGTTTCCTGACTACTAATTCACCTACTGAGTATATCGTTCTTATTGTTGGTAGTTTCTTTGTTGATTATATCTAATGTTGCTGTTCAGTAATCATTCCTGTTTTTTAAAAGAAAATGACTCTTTTAATGTTTTTGATATCTTGAAGGATTTTTTCTTAAAAGTCTAATTATGAGAGTTGCTAATATTCAATTAAGCTAAAATTTTGTGTTCTTCTGTGGAATGTTTATTGTCCTTTACATACAGCATATAATGATTACATCTCTGCAGGTGGATTCTTATATCCTTGAGTTATAGTTACCGTAACATACTCTTGGTCTAAGCCAATTTTTTGAGCTAAAATAGTGTTCTTTGCTACATAGAACTTTGAACAGTTTTTTGGGGTAAAGCTTCTTGACTCTGGTAGTCAGTCAATCTCCTTACTTGAGAACAAGCATACAGAAAGGATTGAGCACCATATTTAACTTCCCAGCACAAGAAATCCCCTTCATCACTGCTCTTTCCCCCTTATTTATATGTTTCTTGTGTCATTAGCTGTTTTTGGGGAGCTGTTCTCAATCAGTAATGTTCTAGCTTCTGTGTAAGTAGCAATATTCTGTAGAATTATATGGAAATTCTCTAGATTTTACTCTCTACTTCTGGGTAGGAAGTACTACAGCAGTAGTTCAGTAGAAATAATTGATCTGAGTTGTAGATTATAATTGTTTGAATTGGCAATTAAAAATCAGTATATGAAAGGTATTACTGTTCAGACAGAGTCACCACTGAGGGACTGGCAGAAGAGTACTAACTGTTGTCATTTAGTTAGGAAACTTTAATGCCAAATGTTTTGCTTTTCATTAGTGGCATAGTGTTACTCAAATAGCAGTTCTTTTCTAATTTTGCTTTTAATTCTGTTGTGAAAGTGAATATGGGAAGGATTTCCATGAGCAGACTGGAGAGCATGAGTTTTTTTAAAAAAACCTGGTACCTGCTCTATGCAGAAAATATGTTTGAGGACAAAATGCGTGAGAGAAACCAAAATGGTAATTTTCTGATAGTTTATCTGCAAAATATTTCTTGTCAATATAGTAGATGGTATTAATGTCTGGTGCCGTTGGTTAAGAGTCTTGTCATCTGGAACTTACACTCAGAAACACTTTCATTTTCTTTTCTTCATCAATAGAAAGAAGGACCAATGAAGTAGTAAAAAATCTATCAAGCCAAAGCCATCGTATAGGTTAAACAATTTATCCATATCTTTACTATTGAGTTTCCAGAATGCAACTCTGCTTAAAAACAAGAATCCCCCGCCTAGTCCATAGATATTTTGAATTCCAGATCTGTTCAGTTAACAATAGGCTTCTTTTCCTGGCTGCCCTGCCCCTGTACTCCATCCTTCCTTCCTTTTAAATCTATCAAGCCAAAGCCATCGTATAGTATGTTCGTAGCGACACCCTGCCATTTCTTTTTGGTCTGCAGTGATGCAGTTTAGAGAAATCTAATACATTCTTTTGGTATTTGTAAAGATGAATAGCACCTGCAGCTCAGTCTGTTATTTGTGTAGGTTTGACAAGGCCACTGGAGTAAGTATACAACATTATTTAAATCAGGGGCTGTGGCATTTGGACCATGCTCTGCAGGTGCTGTGGAAGAAAATGGTAAATTGTTTTAAATTGGAGCTTATGAACGTGTAGGATTTTTTTGCTATCCTAGAGATAGAAAATCAATCTTTCATATTTTATGTGGAGTCCTTTCCAAGGTACATGTGCGTAGAGGGGCTTAAAGGAGATTGAATTTGGGGTTTTTTTACATCCTGTTCATATTATATGAATCCGAAGCAATAGAACTTTCTCTGATCACCTGAAGGCTTCTGAAAAAATTACTTCCTTCGGTCATACTCCCCCACTACACATACGTCTACACTCCTGATGTAAAGTCTGCCTGATGTTTTATCTTTGTGTGCGTGTGTATGTTCCTAGGAAGCCTGCAAATTATCATGGCCAGAGAAAGAATATAGGTTTGGGTGTTCTGTGGTTCTCAGAGAGATTCAAAATCTCTTACATCCCCAGTATTAAATGTCCCCAGTTAGATCGTACATTTTGGGGGAGAAGAGATGTCCTCCTGTTGTCTAGATTAATAGAAGACCATTAGGTTTTCTTTTGCCTGTTCTCTAGTGTGGGGTGTGGGGGACACGCAGGGTCATCAGCAAGTTTTCTTTGACAAATTCCTCACTACAACAAGGACCAAGGTTATGATGATGCCCTTAAACTCTCCTGCTCATCAACGGCGCATAACGGTTGTATTTTTTAGCCTTTTTCTGGAGGTTTTTCATTTGGAATTGGATGTTAGGAAGGGCTTTGCATGTGGAATGATAATGCTCCGTGACCTTTCAAACTAACATTTATTACATGTTTACCTGTAATTATATGGGACTGGGCTTAATAAGGCAGCCTTGTGCCATGGTCCTACGTAGAATGAAGCATGGATCCACACCACAGTAGCTTTCCCAAGCAGGATACTGAGAGTTACAGCAATAATACAGAACATACATAGCTAGAGTTTTCACAGATTACCTAAGTGAAATTTAAGTCCGTTCTCACTTTACGATGTAAGTAGTGTCAGATCCCTGTGCTTGTGGAGTTTAGCTCTGATTTTTATTAAATAGTCCAGCTGGTTAATTAGAATGAAGTATGTTTTGAATGGGTTTGCACTTTTTTATTTTTGTGTTTAATATTGATTAGCTTTCCTGACATAACATAAACTTGAGTTCATTAACTACAAATTAGGAACTGACATAAACAAAGTAGACGGGTGTGTCCAGAGTGTCCAGTGAAGGTTTTTATTTGTATTATAAGGTGACTCTCATGAATTTTAATGACCCTAAATTAGGAATTGGAGTTAGCCCACTTTACTTAAAAGCAAGCTGGAAATAGGCAAAACATTTAAGCATGCACATGCAGCAAAACATTAAACTCTTGATTTTGGGATCCTTTAAATCACTGGATTGTGGTTATTTTAAGAAATTTATTGTATCCATGTTTCTGTTCCTTCAGCCAGACTTAGAAACAGAATGGTATCACACATAAATTTTTTCCTAAGTTAGAAAATCCTTAGATTGTTCCTTAGAGCTTATGAAAAAAATTAACAGGTTTCATAAAACGTTTTGTAGATCTTCAGTTGAAAGGGAGAGTACTTTTAACTGTCTGAGGATTGATGACATCTGATAAATATAATTGGTTTCCTGGATAAGTTGTTGACTTGATGTTTGGGGTTTTTTGGCTTTGTTTTGTTTTGTCTGTCTCTACCTCTGTCCTTGCTCTGAGACTTGGCAATAGCAGGTGACTAGGGGCCAGAATAAGAGCTGAGAAGGGAATCCAGTGACGCTTCCCAGATTCTCACCTTGCTTCCAGCAAATTATATTTCAGGAATACAATGAAAGAAGAGGTGGTGTATAGTCTCTTTGGATGAGTCAAAGGTTTGTTCTGAGCTTGAACACTGATGATGACATGGGGACTGGTATGCTGGGAAGCTTCCCACGTGCTGTTCATTAAGGAAAAAGACATAGAGCCCAAAATTTCATCACAGAAGTAAAGGCTCAGTACTACTGAGAGTAATAAGTGCATAAGACTAATGTTAAAGAATCATCCCTATTTTTAATACTTGCTAACCAATCATGTTCTATAAAATGAACATCAAAGAAAGACAAGGTTCATGCACTAGATCCAGTCAACAGTGTTGTTTTAACCTGTTAGTTAATGGAGATGAGCGTATGTTTACAGTGACTTGTTAAGAGACCGTATGCTTTTTGTTTTGTATAATCTTTATCTGTTCACACTCAAAAACTTGAAAGGTTTTCCATTTGATTCTGAAGGTAATGAAGTGGTGAATATTTTTCAGGGGTATGAAAGAGCATATAGTTTAATAAACCCTAAACTCTTCTAAGCAAAAATAAGCCCTTCATTTTTTCTATGTTAAATGTGGTATGGAGAGGAATTATATAAAGGGAGTCCGGCTGACTTTGTTCTGTACTCCTTAGTTTTTGAAAGATTAGGAAAAAAAAAGCAACTGTTTACATAAGATGCAGTTATTTGTTAGATTGCCTTTTTTCTTGAGATAATAGAATGAATGAGTTAGGAAGGCAAATTCTTGAGGGCATAGAAACTTTGTTGGTAAATCACTTCTATGGTCTAATTTCACTGAACTTGTGAAATGCACAGTAAAGAAACATAGCTAATAAGTAATTTACTTTTATTTCTCTAGACACTGGAAGCCATTTTGAATTTTAAGTACTCTGGTGGACCAGGACATGTTGAAGGATATTACAGGAACCTTTCACTAGGCCTTCATGTAGAAGTAGAGCCATCTGTTTTCTTCACACGTGTCAGCACCCTTCCAGCAACAAGGTAAGCCTTGTTTTGACTCTTGTATATTTGACTCATTGTCTCTATTATATTGGCTATAACTTAAAGACCATGCTGGAAACTTTCAACATAATCATCAACATGTAGGTAAAGAATTATGTGAACAAATTTTCAAAATTCCTCATTTAGGAGTTTAGCCTCTTTTAACTGCAGACTATGATTAAAGCAACCCATGTGCATTGGACAATTTCTGAGGTTCAAACATTTTTTCATGATGGTTTGTTTTACCAGGGACAGGAATCTCTTGTTTATTGTAAAATTTGATGACTTCTTCCTATATTTCTTTGCTGTTGTGGTATGTTGTGCATTACATTGTTTCGTGTTTGTCTAACAGAATCTTACCCAAAATGCTTGTGTAAATGGTTGTCTTTGGATGTGAGGAATAAATTGTAGTCATTCTCTCCTTTGGTGCTTACTTTCTCTTGTAAGCCACAGAGTAGTTTCACATATTGTAGTGAGTTTTAAAAATCATGGCAACATGTAATGGTGATCAAATGCCATAATTACTAAAATCTGATTGCCTAAAATTCATCAGCAACTAAGTAGAATAAGTTTTCATAATTATTTGTTTTGATAAAATTGTCTTTATTTGCTGCTAAATACACAGTTCCTATTCTGTATGTTTTTATCAAATTTATATTGCTTTACGTACTGCTTAAGCAAAGCAGCTTTTGCAAAAATGAATTCTGTAAGTTAATGATTTTACTGATCCTTAATCAACAATGTTTTGTTAATGTAAGTTCACCTATGCTAGTAGCTAAATACTCTACAATCTTCAAATATTTGGGGTGTATTCAAACTTGGGCAATTCCAGAGGTGGCCTTTGAATAGCTGTCATTCAAAAGATGAATAAATGAGCTTGGGTTTGTTGGGAAGAAAGAAGATTGAGAATGGACTTTGTTTCAGTGCATAAGTACTTCTGAGGTATAAATATCAAGGAGGAGGAAATACTCTTTTAGATGAAGGATGAAGTTAGCGCAAGAAAAAATTGTTACAAATTGGATGGGAATATGCTTTTATTAAAAATTCCGTTGTAATAATCAGCTACCAACTACCAAAGTAGCGGGATTATTGAAAAGAAAGCCAGTGTGCATAGTGGGAGCAAGCATTTTGTTTGGTTTGAAGTCTGAAATTATTTCAGTGCAATTATGTAATACTACTACTACTAATAGTTGAGAGTGAACTTAATTGATCCAAGAGATTCCTACTGGTCCTAGGACCTTTTTCATGACAGACTTCAGAAATAAAACCCAAAGATAGGCAAGAATGGAGTGTAAGTCTAGGAGATATTTGGAACATATTTCATTTTCAAAGGAAAGAAATGAGTCACCAGTATCATACCATTGCAAAAATGTCAAAGGATGGATGGACAGCAACATAGCTTGCAAAACATGAAGTGTTTCTTTTGTTCCTGTGAAAAAAAGAAGTAAAGGCGCAAGAAAAGTTGCCATATCTAGTTTGGGGCTCCAGCATGGAGAAACGTGAAGAAAAGTGGACAAGTTGGAGAAAGTCTAGAGCAAGAAGAGTGATAAAATATGACTTTTTTAAAGAATTTAAAGAAATTCTTGGTCTTGCTGAAGCCGAATAGAGGACTGATAGAGGACTTAAGTTTTCAATTACATAAATGGCACTGCCAAGAGGATAGGTGTCTGTTTTTCACAGCAGGTAATACAGTAAATAATGACCTTCGCATATAGCAAGGGGATTTTAGGTTAGGCAAAGATAACGAAACACTGAAATAGTTTTTGTAAAAAATGTTTAAAAATGGGACGAACAAGATTGTCTCAAGCTGATTTTTTTTTAATGATAAGGTTGTGTCCAGCTGTTCTAAAAGAGACCTAAAACTGTATGGCTTTATTGGTAAGCAGGTTTGTCAAGCATTTTGCTGCTTGAAAGTGTAGCATAATAGGCATAATTTTATTCTTTTAGGAACTGCTCTAGTAAAGTAAATCCAATCATAGACTCATAGAATAGTTTGGGTTGGAAGGGACCTCTAAAGGTCATCTAGTCCAACCCCCCTGCCGTGGGCAGGGACATCTTCAACTACATCAGGTTGCTCAGAGCCCCCTCCAACCTGACCTGGAATGTTTCCAGGGATGGGGCATCCACCACCTCTCTGGGCAACCTGGGCCAGTGTTTCACCACCCACAGCGTAAAAAATGTCTTCCTTATATCTAGTCTAAATCTACCCTCTTTTAGTTTAAAGCCATTCCCCCTTGTCCTGTCGCAACAGGCCCTGCTAAAAAGTCCCCATCTTTCTTATAAGCCCCCTTTAAGTACTGATAGGCCGCAATAAGGTCTCCCTGGAGCCTTCTCTCCTCTAGGCTGAACAACCCCAACTCTCTCAGCCTGTCCTCATAGGAGAGGTGTTCCATCCCCCTGATCATTTTTCTGGCCCTGCTCCAACAGGTCCGTGTCTTTCCTGTGCTGAGGGCTCCAGAGCTGGACGCAGTACTGCAGGTGGGGTCTCCCCAGAGCAGAGTAGAGGGGCAGAATCACCTCCCTAATGCTACCTGCGAAGTCAGAACACAGTATCTGGAACAGCTGTTTGCAAAATCCCAGGAACCTTATTAATGTTGTTCAGAGTTTCATCCCTGCAATGGCACATTCTTCGGCCTTTGTAAGGTTTTCAAGGTTTAATAAGCAATCTCTATCAGCCTGGAAGTACCACAGCATCTACTTTAAATAGTTTTCAAGAAGATTCATTATAGAGGTTAAAATACTCAGTTGGCATTTATTATTTGCATGCATAGTCCTCTTCATTCAGTGTCAAAAATGTCCTTTGTACTCTATGTATACTTTTAAATGGACGGCACAACTGCTCTTTGGTTCACTGCAATTACTGTCCTATAGTCACAGAGTAGCTTGAGTGTGAAGCTGCGAACCTTCCATAAAAACTTCAAATACAACATGATGCTTTTATTTGAAACTCTCTTGTTGGTAAGCTGGCTTTTTGTGCTAGATTTTCCTGGCTGTGTTTTGTGTAAGACAAGGTTATCCTACTCCTGCCTTGTCAATCTATTCTTAGGAATTTACTGTGTGAGGAAAGTATTTAATCCCAAAATCTTTAAAAATAGATTGAGGCGCTAATTCAAAGGTAGAGTTTCTGAGTTGTTCAGCTGTGTAGTTTCACAAGTCCTATAGCAGCAGGTGCTATATATAGTGTCTCCAATTCAGCCCAGTGCTTCAGCTCATATTGTATGCATTTGCTTCATTCTTTGCCTGTTCATCATACCGATCAGCATTTAAGTCAGTGTAAACTTTATTTTAAATGATTTGCTGATTGGAGATGTAGTTAAAAATGTGCCTGCTTTTAATTAGGGTGCCAAAAAGCTTTAGTGAGTTGGGGGAAAATACTGTAATATTTAAATTTCTTTCAGAAATGTTTTATTGCAAGACCTGTCAAAAGACTAGTCAAATCTTTTTTTTCTTACATTAGGTATGTATTGTATGCTAAGTCATGAATGCATTTTGTTTTTAAGTGCTTCTTATCTCTTGCTGTTTGTTCTATACTATTAGCTTTAGTGATCAGTAGCAGCATTCCTTTACTCCTGTGCTTCCCCGTGTTGATTCTCCATCAGAAGTCATGTGTCATTCGATATTATGTTTTAGAGTAAAAAATAGCAGAAATATGTCATCTTCCAATCTACTAAAGATAAATATTTGCCACTAAATGAAACAAAGTTTGTTTTTTGACTGTTGATCATCTCTGCCAATATCTGAGATTCAATGACAGCAAATTATAAGTCAAATTTTGTACTTTTACTTGCTCTGTTCAAGTCTTGAATCTGATTTCCTTTTGATTTACAGCTAGAGATTTCATTGCTTAAATTCTGTCTGAGGCACTGAGCTATTTTTGTTTAGTCATTATGAGAAACTGTTTTATAATTTACTTTCTCAGCTGTCATTTCAGAATGAAAGTTATCATTGCTTTCATTTTCTGGATTCAATTTTTTCCCTTTCTTTTATGTTTTTGCTGGTTTTATTTTACATTTTACCTCCACAAAAGTAAGAAACAATAGCTTACTAGCTGCTGGGCTTAAAAAGTCAAAGCAAAATAAAAAACTGGACATTTACTGAAAACAACAGGAAAAATGTTAATGAAATCACTCCCCTCTCCCCAGTTGTAACATAAAAAGTGTGGTTTATGTTAAAATCTTCCCAATGTAATTGGTATTTCTTTTATTTAGTTGCTTGAGCAAATATGCATGGGAATTATCACTGAAACAGCTGGGGATTTTGGTTTGGTTTTTTGTTTTTCTAAATATCTAGCCAAAATGATGTCTTCCATTCATGCACAGGTTTCTGCTTTATAGCGAGAAGTTTCATTAACTGCATCTTCAGTATGTCTTAAGGTGTGTTTAATCCTGACAAGAGGTCCTTTTAACCTTTTGTCTGTGCTCGTCTGTAGAGGCGTCTGTGGTTAGCTTGATGCAGCCCTTAACATGCTGCAGTGCCTAATCTGTTGCCTAATTCTGATTCAGATAGCAGCTCTGCTGTCGGAAGAGATGATGTTCTGTCAGTAAACGGACGTAATCTGCTCTGAGGTTTTTCACTGGGTATATCAACCTATGCTCACTCAGCTACCTGCATCCGAAAAGACTGGCAGAACAGCCTTGTGCTGGGAAATTGTTTGCCTCTGATCATGTTACCTGTAATCCTTGATTCTGCTTGTTTGTGCTTGCCTGGAGATGGTTGTGCATCACAGGACAATCAAGAATGTAGGTGTTTAAAGCAGCCCAGATATAGGGTATAAGAGATAATGAGTTAATGTTGAAAGTTTTCCCAATCTGACCTACAGCTCAGTGACCTGCAGATCACTGAAGTCTTAAAGGGCTTCAGGGATCTACCTGCTTGACTCTTTATTTACCATAAAATGCAGATAAATCTGTAGAGTTAAATTGTATTCATTGTCATCTGTAATCGAGCATACCATGTTAATTGATTCCTTATCATGTCTTAGCCCCAAAACTACTGGTGCG